CAATGGAGACGTGTGCAACGCCTTCTTGAGGGCCCCAGTCCCGGAGGGGACCCTCTTGGCTACAAAGCCCCCTGCTGTATTAGTACGTGCAGGGTTGGTCGCCGCGGACGAGCTGTGGATTGCTTTGACTGCTGTTTACGGTTTCCGGTCCAGCCCGAGATGGTGGTCTACCTACCGAACAGACATGATGAAGAAGGCCGTCACCAAGTTGGGGCTCAGGTTCGAGCAGGGAACAGCTGAGCCAAATATTTGGCGAGTCCTCGACAAGGCCGGGAACCTGTGCGGGTTAATTGCGGTATACGTCGACGACTATTTGGTGGCCGCCCCCAAAGAAGTTTGCCAGGATGTTCACGACTGGTTTTCCTCTACGTGGCAGACAACCGAGGTGCAGTTTGCCACGCCTGAGAACTCGCTGAGGTTTTTGGGGATGGAGATGAGGGTGGTTCTGAACGATGCCGGCGACTTCGAGGGGTATTCCTTAGACCAGGAGGGGTACATTCAAGAAGTTCTTCGACACCACGAGATTGGGGAGCGGCAGGTGTCTACCATCCCTGCGGCCAAGGATTGGATGTCCTTGGATCCGTCGACCTACCCCGAAGCCTACGATGACCGGAGCCTCAAGGAGGCTCAGTCCCTCACCGGCGAGCTTGCTTGGCTCGCCCAACGGACAAGACCGGATCTGGGCTTTACTGTCAGCGTAATGGGCACACTGATGAGTAAGGACCCAGAGCGAGCAGCGATGATAGGACGCAAGGCCCTCTGCTACCTCAACTACACGAAGGAATGGAAGCTGCGCTATAAGGCACACCAAGAGCCCTCCCTGATCGCCTACACTGACAGCAGCTACGCGCCAGATGGAGGCAGAAGTCACGGAGGAGCTGTGGTGTTTTGGAGCGGGGCTCCAGTGGCATAGCGGAGTGGACGCCAAGCGTTGATTACTACCAGCAGCGCAGAGACAGAGTTGTTGGCTGCGAGCGAGGGAACAACTTTGATGGCATCCATCGACGCCTTGCTGCACGATGTGGGGGCCCATGCGTCGATGCGCGAGCTTCGAGTGGATAACTCAGCGGCCATAACACTGGCCTCTGAGGAAGGAGGCTCGTGGCGGACACGCCACCTCAAGGTGAGGGCTGGAGCCCTTCGTCAACGAATCCAAGAAGGCTGGATGCAGATAGCGTTTTGCCCCGGGATCACTCAGCTGGCGGATGGCCTCACCAAGATCCTCCCTGCGAGAAGGATGAATGATTTGATGAGAGCATGGGGCCTCGGAACACCAAATGAGGAGGGGAATACCACGGTCCTACAACCTCTTCAACAAGTTCGGCAACTACGAGCACCAGCAGAAATGCCGCAGCAGCAGAACACAACAACACCGGTAGCACAACAGGTGAGTCCAGAGAACCTGGGATGCTGTTTACAGTTATTGGTTCTTATGAGTAGCCTTACTAAGGTTAGGGGGTATAGGACTGCGGATGACGACGCCTCGCCTCTTGCAGTGGACTCTTCTTTGGAGCTTTATGGCATCATTTTGATGTTGGTGATTTGCACTATTGCGTTATGGGAAATGGGCCGAAGCTGCTATCGTTCCCATAACGAAGGAGTGCGGTTGCGGTCACTGCAGACCGATGCCAAGCTGAATAAGAAGGAGTTGAGAACGCTCAATGCTTATTTGAAGAGGAGCCCTGCAGATCTCAGCTCGGCTGAGAAAGAGGAGATGGTTTCCCTCGCAGACCAGGCAGGTGTAGACCTGACTGGTATTCTTCAAGGGGCGCCAGCAAAGCAGGCAAAGAGCTCAGCTCGGACGGTGCCTGAAGACGAGCCCTTACCTCCTCCGCCACCGCCACCTCCGGTGGCAGAAGCTTGCGCGGCGGATGAGGAGCTGCTCTACAGGAGGAGGCGTGAGAGGCATCGGATTGGAGGCCACAGAGATGATGAAGTTTTTACGACATCAACTGTGAGGAGACCGCCACCCTTTTTCCGTACTCAGGATGCTTGGGTGCAATGTGACTTGGGAGGAGAAGTTCCGAAGAAGGTGTACATGACGCCGAAGGGGACATGTGTACACGCGACTACCAGATGTCCCACTCTGAACTGCTCGACCAAGTTTCAAGAACGAGATGTTTGTCAGCGTTGCATTAAGGGTCAGAAAGACGAAGTTGATGTTCGAGGACATCACTGGCCCTGAACAGCCTTCATGTGGCGTCAAACTGACGTTGTCGCCAAGGAGGGGTGTTGATGGGGAAGCAAGCTTCGCATGTATTTCAACTGCCTTGGTGGAGCTGAGGTGTTGAACCTTTTGTGTGGCTTTAGACGGATGTTGGCTCGAGGAGCCATTCGGCAGAAGCCACTTGAATGAGCCCCTTTTGGGGCAGAAGCCAGCATGCAGAGCATGTGAGCACGAGCAGAAGTCAGGCATAATGATGCATGCTATGCACAGATGCGCATGCAGCCTAGCACTTTCGAAGCTTGTGTGTGTCCGGAAAAACGTTAGAGCGCTGAGCGTGCCATGGCCGTTTGTCAGTGACTGTAAGACTTAGCAGCTACGATACGGCGCAGAAGATCGAATCAGAGACATTTGTCTCCACATACTGCTACTGCCACTGCTGCTACTGCTGCTAATGTTGCTGCTGCTGCTGCTACTCCTCCTCCTCCTCCTCCGACTTCTGCTGTTGCTGCTCTTACTACTTCTGCCACCGCCACTACACTACTACACTACTACACTGCTACACCACTGCACCACTGCACCACTACACCATATTACCACTACCACCACCAGGACGACGACGACGACGACTGCCCCACTAAGAGAGCCTACGCCACTTGCCTGTTCTGGCGTTGTTATTATGGCCAGTGCAGCATCGCGGCCGTTGTGCTTATCACCACCACCTTTGTGAAAGTTATTGCAGATGCATGTGTTTTCGTTACTTGGGATCATCCTTATTGCTTCCGTAGGTTCTACAAGATGATGACATTCCCAAACGACAGAACATCTTCGGGTTCCGCAAAATATCTTGTGCGTCACCCCGCAAGCTTCCAAGCAGTTGGCCTCAAACTCATTGTCAAGGCCGCAGTCTCCATCATCCGGGAGCATGGATGGGAGGCTTTGCATGGTCGGGACAGCTCAGGACACTCGCTTGTGCAAGGGGCCTTCGATCGTCAGGCTTGAGTTTGTTTGTTCTGGGTCTCAGCTTAACTTCTAAACAGGTCCTAAACCCCAAACTCGAGGCCTTCGCCCTGTGTGCATTGGCAGGATGTGTTTTTTGAAATCAGTGTCATGATGCCGTCTGCAGTTCGTGGAGTCACATCGCTGTGTGTGCCTTACAAGATATGGGCTAAACTCTAACTCCCAAACTGCAAACACTAAACCCTGAAGCCCTAAACAATAACGTAGCCCCAGAGTCACCACGGCCACTGAACCGTTAAACAGGACCCTGCTGGACGGCCTTACATTGGGCTGCGGCAGAGGGGAGGAATGATGTCTGCTTGCTGCTGCCGCCGCCTGAGAGAGAGTGGTGTAGCGTTTAGGCGGCCCTTGTATTCTAGAGGCCCCTAAACCCTAAGCCCCAAGCCCTAAACCCTTTTAAACCCTAGACCCTAAACCTTCTAGATACCTTAGTTCTACACCCTTCAAGCCCCTTTTGGAGAGCCCTCAATATTTTGGGCCTTGTGCCTGGAACGTCGAGGCTTGGCTGCCGTGCGGACCCCAACCACGAGGACACACCTTTCAAACAAGGCGTTTTTTTTTTTGGTTTTGTCGGGGTCTATGGGGGTGTTTGGTGTGCTTTGTAACATTGTAGGATCTTGTAGGCTGTCTTTGATGGTCTTACTGGATATGGTAGTTTCTTTTTCTCTGTTTTGGTTTGTGGCTTCTGGGACTTTGAAGGAGGGTTTTGTAAAATCTGAGGAGGGTTTGCTATCTGCAGCATCTGCAAAGCGGTGACCTGATGTTGAGGACGAGATAGGCCGAATCCCAGCCTACTACGCCAATTTGCACGGCTATGCTGACACGGCCGTGCGGGCCGAAGAACCGGGGTTCAACGTGATGTCCAGGAGAATTGGGGAACCTTACGATGGAATATAGACCTGTCGTGGAAGTCGTTGCAGTCGGTATCGTCGTTGCTGTGGTCGACTTCGTCGTAGTGGCAGCAGTCGTGTAAAGTCCGCAAACCCTAACGTGAGTGTTCGTGGGTCAAGGTTCTGCTGCACAGCTCATCGAGGCCCGAGAAGGCCAGAGCATGTCTTGTCCGAAAGACTACCTCTGGAAAGAAAGCCTCGAACCCACAGTCTCCAACTCTAACGCCTGCAACGGGGCCTACAAACATTCTTCCCAAACTTTCAACCCCTATCCCTAAACACATCCCCATCCTGAATCCCAAACCCTAAACCTTAAACCTTGGCCGGTAAGGGAGTTTCGAAGAGATCAAACAGAGATCGATGACACAGCCTGTGCAGGACCTGCCCAATCGGGCCTTTCTGAATACAGAGCTCAGGAAAAAGATCTTCACCAAAAGAGACCCGAAACCTTTGTCGCCAAGAGGGAAGTGTCCGCTGGTCGGAGGCACCGAAACCTGCCCGCGATAGAGATGAGGACCGCAAACGTAACTCGCGGGCTCCTACCGACAGTTTAAATTCGCATGCACGTGAGTATACGTATACTCTGTCTGTCTGTTCGTCTGTCTGCCTGTCCGTCTGTCCGTCTGTCCGTCCGTCCGTCTGTCTGTCTGTCTGTCTGTCTGTCTGTCTGTCCGCACGTCCGTATGTATGTATGTAGGCATGTATGTATGTATGTATGTATGTATGTATGTATTCTGTATGTTTGCAGGCATGTATGTCTGCATGAACATGACGGGACACGAAGCCCTGAAAGCAGAAAGCAGAAAATGCATGAACATACATCGACATGAGAAAGACTTCTCTTCGCCAAAGGTATGTAGAGAATTCTCTATACTTCGTACCTTGTGGTTTGTATGGTCTGAGCCCATGGTCGCGAGGATGACATCATGGAGCGACTTTCTGCTGCTAGCACAGGCGTACTGCACCCGGCTGCCACTCTGTAAGGCCTGACATTTACCCCACAGAGATCGCAGCCTGAGGCCAGCGCTTTCGACCGCGGTACCTGTGCATCTACCTGTAACTGGCCTTGGCTCCAGCTCTGCGTCTCAAGCTCCGGGAAGTTCTGCGAAAGTAGTCTGACCAGGTCGCCGTCCGTTCTCCACAGCGTGACGCCTGGCCAGTCGATGCCCCGAGATGTGATGGCCTCCCTGAGCAGCTAAGAGCTGTGCTGCCTCAGTGCCTATGCTCCGTGAGCCTTTGACGCTTCTGAAAGGGTGGAGGCAATGGTTCACAGACACTCTTTGACTTTGGTGTCCTTTGAAAGCTTGGGATGCCCTTTTTGCGGCTTTTTTGCACAGTCTCATCGCTGCCGTGCGGGTCGAAAAATGCAAGCAAATGACAGCGTTTGTACCGGCATGAATTGCACCTCTCAAAAAAAGCGACCCCACCAGCGCATGGGGCCACATCTCTCATCCGCGATTTTCGGCCCAGTAGTAGTCGTGCAGGGGCAGGCGATGTCCAGCGCCTGCAGGGAGCCTACAACAGCTTTGCTGTCTTTTTTTGTGCAATTTTTTTGGTCACCCTTTCAGGGGAACTTAACATACTTTAGCCGCCCATATCACCTAAGTTTCCAGAGCAGCTCGGTCCGAAGCCCTGAGCTCGCCAAATGCTTGCGAAGGACATGGAGCCAACGCGCAGTTGCCAGCTCCAGTGCCCGGCGCTTGCAGTGGGGCCTCACCGGTGATGTGCGAGATAGCGCTCTTGCGGTGCTTAAGGGTCGAGAGGGGCTTGGTTGACGGTGAAGCTCAGGAGAGGCTTTCAGTCCTTTTAGAAGGAGGAGGACAAGTCTGTGCCAGAGCATTTGGCTCCAACCTCTGCCCTTAGGGCAGGGAGGAGTATTCCGCATTCCAAATTTTGCTACAGCCGGGCACACGACTCAGACGCAGATGCCAGGAAGTCGAGACGAGACCAGAGATGCTGTGATTCCCTTGCTTTTTTTTTTTTAACGTCCCTCGCTGCCAAGGTCTATTTTGCATGGTGGTAAAGGATGTCATGTACGCAACAAGTGGTTGAGCAGCGGATAGCACGTCGGAGAGACCAGGAGGCCCCGCTCCTTGGTTCTGCCTTAATTGCACCCCCCTTGCGGGGTTTCAGAGGGCTTTTGGGGTTTACTGAGCTTTTTTTATGGTTTAAGGGCTTTAGGGTTTTAGGGTTTTAAGGTTTAAGGGCTTTAGGGTTTTAGGGTTTTAGGGTTTTAAGGTTTGAGGCCTTTTGGGGTTTACTGAGTTTACAGTACAGGACTCCGGGGAGGCGATCGTTGCGTCGTGGATTCAGCAGCTGTGTCAGAGGGAGCCGCCATTACGGGGGCTCTTCCGGGTTTAGGGTTTTAGGGTTTAGGGTTTTAGGGCTTTGGGTTTAGGGTTTAGGGTTTTAGGGTTTTAGGGTTTTAGGGTTTTAGGGTTTTAGGGTTTAGGGTTTAGGGTGTGTGTAGGAAAGTAG